CTTGTACATCATTTATTAATGTTCTCATTAAATGTTTTAATTCTTCCATATGTTCACTTATTGACATATTCTGTTATCGATTTTTCGATCGACAATAATAAAATGCTATATGCTCAGCATTTTTACAATCTCTTATCATTTTATCATACTTTTGTTTTATAACTTCAATTTTTGTTAGTTCTTTTAATTTTTCAAAATACCTTGCTTCCTTTTTTTTATACCTTTCTTGTTTTAATTTTAATATCTGTTTTTCTTGAGTTTTAGTCATTTCTCCAGGTATTAATAATTCATCTAAAATTTTATTATTTATTAATCTTATTCTTTCTAACTTTCTATCTAAAATATTTTTAGTTTTTTCCATTATATTTTTATGATAATTCATATATTTCTCTGTGGTATAATTCATTTTCAAATATTTCGATAATTATTTCATATGTACGTCTATCTTTGATAAATCCTACAATTAATTTATGTAATATTTGTTCCTTTATTTCTCTAGGTAAATTCCTAATTATATATAATGTTATTATTTTTAATTTATTAGGGATAGGGTTGTAAAATATATAACATCCTTTTTCTTCAATACACTGATAATAATTATTTATTTTTATGATTTCCATTTCCTTATTTTTCCAATTTTCAATATCTATTAGGTAATTTATTTTTTATATATTTTCTCATGATCTTTATGGCTCTGATACCAATGGACGAGTGCTACTATGAGCGAGCAAAAATCTAATAATCTAAAAATCTAAAATTTTAATATTCCAAAAACTCTTTTATTTTTGCTATTAGATGTATATAAATTCTTAAGATAAAGGCTAATTTTTTGTATGCTTATGGTAATCTATTTTTTATTAGTCTTCTCATAAATTTTTAAGTAATTCTTCAAAGTCTAGTAATGTATGAGAATTTATAATATCAATATCTGTTATCATATCTATGTCTGTTCTAAAAGGTATATTATATTTTGAGATATTTTTCTTTCTTTTTTCTAATTTATCTATTATATCTTGTATATCTTTTATGATTATTGATCTTACAATTCCTTTAGCAAAATTTTCTAATAAGTTTTCTTTGAAACATTTTAATATTTCTTGTGACGCATATAATTGTACTTGATATCCTATCTTATCAATTTCTTTTTCAAACTTAATTTCTTTTTCATTTTTAACAACCTTTTTTATATTATATGGTCCTCTCTTATATTTCGGTTTTTCTATTTTATAATTATTCATTAATAATCCTTACAAATTTTTAGAAAAATTACTTGTTAGATTTTCTAAGGACTTAGATAGAAGATTTTTATTATGTAAAGGGTTGTTTTTAATATTTGTTTAAGGGTATTTTAGGTAGTTTCAAATGTTTGGAAAAGTCAAAGGTCATTTTGGAAAATCCCTCTCTTATTTGGGTCAATTTCATGTATTTCCCCATTTTCAATCATACATTTGCACAGTAAAATATTTTGTACGTAAACTCAAAATTTTAACTTCTCACTTGTCAAAAAATCGCTGTTGAAAACTCTATTTACCACATCAAATTCGAGAATTATTCGTGATTAATACATAATCTCTTATTTCTTTGTTTTTTTTATCGTCCGAAATTATCACTCGTGGTGGAGGTTGAGATTCATAAATTGAATTCCTACAAAAAAGTTTCTATTGTCTACCATATTACAAAACATCATGTGAATTCTTAAAATGACTCCGATCCATCTAGTATACAAAGTATCGAAATTTTAACATCAATTCCTCTTGTACTGAGGAATTGCTGCAAAAAATTCACCAAATGCTATTGCTGCAGGAAATTTACCACAACAGCATTTGGTGCATCATATTTATCCATCTAGTATACGAAGTATCGAAATTTTAACATCAATTCCTCTTGTACTGAGGAATTGTTGCAAAAAATTCACCAAATGCTATTGCTGCAGGAAATTCACCACAACAGCATTTGGTGCATCATATTTATTTATTTATTTTGCCAATATTCAATAGATTTCTGTCAAGTGTGTTCTGTATTAATTCTGGCAACCATTTTTCTGTACATGCAGCAGATTTCAAGTTTTAAAATATGTAATGCGTGACTATACGTTTCGATCAAGCATTACAAGAATATACGAGCCTATGCAAAACATATGCGAATCATACATTTTTCAATTTTTAATATTATTTAAATATTCTAAACTAATAAATAAATAAATAAATAAATAAAATAATATATTCTTTAAACTTTATACATGTTCTTCAAAGTTTCACAACAACAACAACAACAACAGTAATAAAAAAATTAGTGCTCAAAATCATAAATACTACAATTACATAAAACTTTATACATATAATTCAAATTTTTAACAAAAACATAATGTTCAAAATCATAAATATTATAATTACATAGTAGCTAATTCCAACAATTAGATTATACACGAACATCGACTTAACAAATCATAAATATTGTCTAACTCTTTATCGAATTCCAATTCAAACTCCTCTTTATCCAAATTATCTTTTGTGTCATCCCAAAAAATCATCTTATCGGGCTATATTATTTCAAATCAAAAATTTCTATTATATCTTTTCAATGGTAGGATATTATTGTTAACATATTTCTCATCATTAGAGCCATGTTAATCCAAGATTGTTCATTATTAGCATTACTTGCTAGTAAACCTAGAGAAAGATCAAAGAAGGAGGAGCAATACGGTATGGCGGTTTAATGACTTATATTGCCAAACATCATTTTAACTTACAAATTCAAGAATCTTTGCAATGAAGCAGCATAATTGAAATCAAAGTTTCAAGAATCTCACAATATAGAAGCACAAAGAAAATCAACAGTAATTATCTCGATCATTAGCATGACGAGGACCATCAGACAGGAAAAAGTGGCAGCAAAAGCTAGGAACAAAGATTTCAGACACAAGACGCAGTAGGTAATCAAGGACTGTTGAATTAAACAAATAACGAGTAATTAGAGAAAACAATAGGCAATGCAGACATTGCAGTCCTTAGTAAAAGTCTACAATATGGTCTCGATGATGAATGTAGAAAAACCAAACATACATCGCAACACAAACAATGTGATATACAAATAAAATTTGTCGCAGAATTGAAAAGAAGCAAGCCCACAGCAGACACGAACACATTCAACCAGTCTCAATGAAATTAGTTGCCCAAAAAAAAGAAAAAACCCGAAAGGTCGTGATGCCCTACTAATGAAAACCCCAGAATGACCAACTAATAAATGTCCATACAAGGAACATTAATATCATAAAGAGGGGCAACCAAGACGTTTTATATGTGCAAAAATATCAGGATATCCTCAAAATTAAAATATTACCACGGCCAGGGGTGCACCAGGATTGTTACATTGGTTCGAGGCCGATCGCATACATGTAAAAGATAATAATACAGTATGTGAAAGACTGCAATTATGTGAATTGTGTCTCCCCAGCTAGGCAAAAACTAATACGTGGTAGCTATCAAAGTACAATTTTTTTTTAACAAAATTATAAAACTTAAAAAAAAGAAACATGGAATGAGGCTATTCTAGTTTCTATAGTCTAACACAAATTCAGAGTTAAGGACACAACAGTCGAAATTGATTTTACATAAAACAAGTTTCACAATCTTTCTTTTATCAAACCTCTTGAGTCAATTTAGAACGTCTTAGCTATTTCTTTCTACGTATTACTCTAACTAAGAAGGTTGCAGGAAGATTGTCCTCCATTTCGTGTAAGGTTTTAACTTCCATTTAGGGTGGTCAAACCTGAATATTGAGAAGGTTTTATAAAGGAAGACCTAATAATCTATAAGGTATTGGGTATCTTCCGGGAGGCCATTCCATCTAAGGTCCACCCTATTCGTAACATCAGGAAAGCTATATGCATAACATACTTTTAGCAAAATGATTCCGTATATCTCCCAGCACTAATTCAGCATACAAAACTGCCACATACTTTCCTCAGCTCTGACCAAAATGAAAATATTTCACAAATCAGGTTTAATTACTATATATTCATTTATAAACTTAACTATTACACAAGGAAAGGGGTTTTAATAAAACACAACCAGTTCCAACGTAAAAACGGAACACACAGGTTGCAAACTATGCGAATCACTTACAGAACAATGTGCAGAATATTGAGATTAGCATATATTATGATGTGTATTACCTGCCTTACCTAATAGAACAAAGAGGGTTAACAAGATGGCAACTGGGATTATTAGCTTTTTCTGAATGATGAAGCTTTGCATGCTTTACACCATCAAATTTCACTAACGTCTATATTTATATATGAATTGTGGGAATTAATTCTATCATCCCAAATATTTCTGCTTTATAACAAACTTATCCTATTAATATTTTCTCCAATCCTACATCTATAGACAGCTTCAATCTGCTGCAAGACACTTCATTAAGTGGACAAAATACAAAGTCAAAGTAAACCATTAATCTATGACTAAGCAAATAAAATGATTAATATATTAGCTAACTTCCTTACTTTTCAATTGACAGTTGAGTTCCTGCTTTCTTATGTCTTATTCTTCAATCTAGTCCAGATATAAGTTCTAAGAAATGATTCACTCTCAGATGCATTCATCATAATTCAGGATTAAACATTTAACCTTGGATAAATCAGCAAAAGAATATGAAAGGGGGATGGGAATTAGAGAGGAATATTCTAATCTTTTGTTAAGGTTCTATCAGAGTGGTCAATTGACTCAATTCTATAGTTTAGTTACATGCAATTTTTTTACCCATCCATCAATTATTACTCAACCTTGCAAGAAATATTTCTCGTCAGAACTAAATCTATTATAACGACCTTTAACCCCAAAGAAGTTCAGTTTCAATGAAGATTTTATCTCCACCATTCATAGAAATTGAGATCAGCATTGAGAGAAGCCAATGACATTTATACAGCAGTTCCACACCATGTTATATATTCAACATGAACAGATAAAAATCTCAAACAAAATGGAATAACTTAACTAATAGCACAATTTGGAAAATACTTCCAAACTCATATAACTATTAAGTGAATTCAAGATTACTTTTTGTTACTATAGCACCATATTACAGTCTAAAAATCAGTTTTCAAAACAATAAAACTATAAATAACAGTCCAAATGAAAAACCAGAATGCCTAATGTAACATTAACAGAAGAGCATCTCCAAAACCTCATTACTCAGCAGTGTTACCCAGCATGAAAGAGAACAGCTCATGAACAGGGGGATACTCGACCAACCCAATATCCATTGCATGTCCACTAATTGGCAGCTTCAGATCACGTAAAACAGTAAAAGCCTCTGGCATACGAATCTTTGGAACTTCTTCAGCTACTGGACATAAAGGAATCCATGTATCAGGACGGTGCTCGTCCCCGACTTCAATACCCTCCTTCTTCATTGCATCACACAGTTGCGAATGGAACTGAAGGAGAGACAAAGTTGGAGTTGGAGCAAGAAAAAGAACGTTATTTTCATTTGGGAGGCTACCAATTGAAGAGAAGGACATGGGTAAAGGTTCTTGCTTTGCAGCAAAATTCTTCATGATATTTTCAAGTTTAGAAATGTCAGCAAACGGACTTGAGTATAATGTAATGTGAGGCCTTGATTCAATTTCAATGAGCTGAGTACTGATTTGTCGACGAGCCAACACATTCCAGGCTTTCAAGACCTGATTTTCCAGAGCAGGATCGAAATAAAGCTCAATTGCATAGCCTTGTGACATTGTCTCTAAAATTTAAATTCCAAAGAAAAGCAAACAGAATAAATCAAATAGATACAAATTAACCACAAAAGCGAGAAACTTGTAGCATTTAACAAATCAGACTAATTATACCACTAGAAAAAATGAATGCAGCACATAAACAGTTAGAAAGGGATTACAGAAGCCAAAATCCATAAGAGCGAAACAAGATCTAAGAGTAAGACAAACGGACAAAAACAGATGAATTACTATGGACCCATAAAAATCTTAAATCAAAGTATGCAAATATCAGTACAAGATAGAAAATTAAAGCATAAACCCTAAGGAATTGTTGGCACATACCCAATTAAGATTAGAGACAACTGAGCCAAAAACTCGAAGCCCCGAAATGGAAAATTGAGAGGCGAAGAATCCCCAAAAGTTAGAGCGCTTAAACAAATACAAGAACTTGACAAGCTTGTGAAGATGAAGAGTGAAGGATAATAATATAAATTGTTAAAATGTTTCAAAATCTGAAAGGGACAGAGAATAAAGAACAGGTCCAAGAAAAAAGATGTTTTCTTTTAAAGAATTTTCTTGACGACGAGTAGTGTAGGAGTTAGGGAAACGGGAAGACTTTGGGAGCAGCCTTTCCGTTCCGACAATTTTACGATGAACAATCCATGTTTCACACTCCAAGTCCCTCTTATTTCTTCATTTCTTTTGCATCTCATTCTCACGTCAAAATCAGTCTAATTGTGATGAATTTTAAAAATTCTTATCAATTTAGGTGTATTGACGTGTCCCACTTAAGATTTTCATGAAATTCAATAAAATTCTTTAAAATTTAGGTATTCTTAATAATTAATAGATTTACAAAGATTTATCTATTTATGAGACTTTAAAAGATATGGACGGATTTCAAGTTTAAAAGTATACAGATCTTTTGAAATTTCACCATATTTGATGATATTGTTATTGAATTTATGAAAATCTATTAAAATCTACAAAATTCATTAGAATTTATAATCTTTTAAAATTTATCAAAATCTCAGTTCATGACACCCTCCTAAATTCATTTTTCTATTCAGTCAAAATTAATTTCAACCATATGTTAATAAATACCATTAATTTGTTATGCATACATGTAATAGAACTTACTATTATTTCTTATAAAAAGTTACTAATAATTTTAAACGAAAAAACGAATATAGACTTATTAAGAAATTCTGTCAACAAACAATGTTATATGCTTGTTGATGTTAAAAATTTCTGAGTGCGATTTTGAACCAACTTTAAGAAAACGAGTGCTTTTTCATTTAAATGAAGGTAACAAGCACATTTTTGTTGTGGTGAGCGTCCTTTTTCGGGACTTGTAATTTTCTATTTATGGAAGAGATTAAATCTTATTTTCATGGAATTATGTCTTGTCAATTGAATCAATCATAGTGCCGAGCTTGATTTGTGTGCCTCAAATCTCTTCCTCGATTTGTCGATAAAGCCGGTTCCAATCAAATCATGATAATATCCCCTTTTATCAGGTAATCATGACCTACCCTGAGATAAGTAGTTATGGCCGTTAAATGGTGGGTTTGAGTGATGCTGACGTCACTTCTTTCCAAGTGCCTTTGACTGATTACGTGGTTTGATAAGATGTAAGAAATCTGCAATTAATATATCTCTTGGTATTACGACAGTTATAGTACTGAGCTGAGTTTATAAACTTGACCTGGTGTGTATGCGAGATGGCTGCCGTCAACATTTTTGTAAATAAGCTCGGAGATCAGTGGTCAACAAATAAACCTTAGATCGATGCTTATCCTAGAGATGGACTGACCTATGGACTTAGTTGGTCCACCTCCCTATGATTTGTCGTAATTGTAGCATTTGAAAGTTATGCTAAGTGTTGTGTTTTACCTTGATGAGCTATCCCACACTTTCAATTGCTTCCTTTGAAAGCTTTGATGTTAAAACTACATAGTTTTGATTTGATGAATTTGGGCCCTCCATTTTCCCTCAATTTCTCCATCCAATGACCCAGGTTGAGTCCCTTAGCTTTTCCTTCAATTCAAACACCTTTTCCACCGTCATTTTATCATTTTCACGCCAACGTTTTCTCCTTTTGCAAGCAAAGCAAAGTTTTTTCCTTCTTCTCTCTTCTTCCCTTTTGTCTTGAGTGAGGTTGTCACTTTCCAGGTATTCTTTTTACCAAAAAATGCCTTTCTTTTTTCCTTACTGATTGCATGAGTTTGGACGAGTTTAAAGTACATTCTTAGGGTAACAAGCAGAAAGAGTCAGTGCCTTTTATCCCCACTTTATCTTTGAGTTTAAACTATCAAGAAATTTTGATCCCGGTGCTAATTAACGTAGTTAACTCACGAGATTTAAGTTGTTTGAGAAATATGGATCTAAGCCCGAGAGACAATGGGGATGAGAAAATAAGATCTCGAGTAGATAGCGAGGGAAATAGTATGGGAGAGTAGGGAGCGAACTCGAATATGTCGGTTGTGATAGGAGATCTACTAGTGAGTTGAAGGGCTAGGTATAATATTCCCAGTTTGGTGGAGATGGTAGTGCCCGACCCTATGGACTGAGCTAATATACCCCTAGTAGGATGTGTGGCTTTAAATTAGTTTATTTTAAATGCCGGTCTTAGACTCCCCTTTCCTAGGGCCATTACAAGTTCCTGTCCTTCTGGGGAATAGCTCCGACTCAGCTATGCCCTAATAGGTGACGAACGTTAGTTGCTATTCTTATCTTCGACTCAACTATGCCCTAATAGGTGGCGAACGTTAGTTGCCACTCTTATCTTGTGGTATAAATTAGGGACAATAATGCTGCTCAACTCGGGATAAAATCCCGGGTTTGGAGCCAGGGGTCGAGGTGGCAAAACCTCGGCCCCCAATGTGAATCGCGCTGTCCTCGCGTGATTGAAGATCAAGGGCTGAGGTTTGAAACTCAGGATTTAATCCGGGGTTCGAAAAATGTTTCAATTAGGGAACCCCGATCTTACCGTAGAACAATTTAATTCCCTACACACATTTAAGGAGGATGGGAAGAACTTGGGCCAGTGGTATGGCAGCGTTAGACCTAAAATTGGAGGTTTTTTAGTGCTCGACACTCTTTCCTCTTTTTTAAAAAATGGAATGAGAAATTTTTCTACATGTTGGGAGACTGACAGTTTTACCCTGTTGAGGTGAATAAGGAAAATGTAGTCCCTACCCTTTATCATGCACTGTGTAAGTGAAGGTCTTCTTATCCTTTACTGAACTGGCTGGTAACACTCCTCTAACCTTTTTACTATTGTTTTTGCAGTTTATAAGAAGGCGATCTTGACCCTGGCAACACAAAGACTAGCTGAGGCAATCAAGACTTTGCCTAAAAGAGAAAGGTGCAAGTTCGTCATTTTTTTACTCTAACCTATTCTAGCCAAGGCTATTCTAGTTGGTACCTCCGACCTCCACGATAGCGAGAGCCTCTTCATTTTTTCTTATTGCTTTCAATAAGGACTAACCCTTATTAAGAATTTTTTAACTGTCGTTTTTTATATCAATACTAAAAATGTTTTTATTCCTTTTTTGCAGATGGTGATACAGATATGTTGGACTACAAGGCAGCGAAGGTGGCAATTGCTAATAAGGGAAAGAAGAGGGCGGCTCCAGTTGAGATCACGAGCCATCTTCCTGAGGTCAAGGTTGTGCAAAAGGTCACCCCATTGAAGCGGAGTCGTCTCGAGATGCCTCCAGCGAAGACTCCCATCGTGGTCTTATCTCTGGAGAGTTCATCTCAAGTAGTGCCCCCACAGAAGTCGACTCCGGCACCATCTTTTTACTCTAACCTATTCTAGCCAAGGCTATTCCAGTTGGTATCTCCGACTTCCACGATAGCGAGAGCCTCTTCATTTTTTCTTGTTGCTTTCAATAAGGACTAACCCTTATTAAGAATTTTTTAACTGTCGTTTCTGATATCAATACTAAAAATGTTTTTATTCCTTTTTTGCAGATGGTGATACAGATATGTTGGACTACAAGGCAGCGAAGGTGGCAACTGCTAATAAGGGAAAAAAGAGGGCTGCTCCAATTGAGATCACGAGCCATCTTCCTAAGGTTGAGGTCGTGCAAAAGGTCACCCCATTGAAGCGGAGTCATCTCGAGATGCCTCCAGCGAAGACTCTCATCGTGGTCTTATCTCTGGAGAGTTCATCTCAAGTAGTGCCCCTACAGAAGTCGACTCCGGCACCATCTTCTTCTCCATTACCAATGTGCCCAGCTCTTGGAGGTCGCAAGAAAGATGCCCTGATCTACAATGGCCTCATCTAGGTGCCTTGGTGGGTTTTCGTCCTAATATCATTCTGGACTTTCTTCGTATGCCATCTCATTCTAGGAAGACCATAGCTGCGTTGCCTCCTTCCCTCCATGACTCTACAAATCTCCTATTTCTTGTTGAGATGCCAATTGGCACGGCCATGATCTCAGCTCAGCTTAATAGCCATAGATCAATATTGTATATGTAGTCTATAGCAGATAAGGTGCCTATTCTCGCACTTGCATACTTAATAATCTTCTTATTTCTTTCAGTGCATATCTTCAAGTTTTATTTGTGTTATCTCAGGTGAAGGCTGAGCTTGATAAGATGCTTGAAGCTAAGAATCGAGCCTTGAGCCTTTATGAGAGTATGGAGGTTGTGAGGGAAAAATTTGCCCAGCCTCAATAAAATGGGCATCGAGCTAGAGGCGGTCTACCTTAGAACTGAGCCCAATGGATGATAACCAGGCATTGAAAATATGGCGAAGAAAGCCTACTAGCGGGTTGCTGTAGAGAAAAATAAGGCTGAAGATAAACGAGCCAGAGTTGACGAGGAGTGGGTTTAAGCTGATGAGGCTAAGAAGAAGACCGAGAATGCAACTAAAAGGGTAGAAGAGGTCGAGGCTAAAGCGATCAAGGTTATGGACTTTTGGAGGGCCTTTCCTGAGTTTGATGCTTTAGCTCAGGATGTTTATGTCACCGCGTTGAAAGAGTTAGTGAAGTACATTGGTAGTGAGAGGCCACATTTTGATGTCGCCTTCCAATGGAGTCTTTGGAGGAGCAAAAGAAAGAGCTGCAGAAGCTGTCGGAGGCTACAGAAGTTCGTATCTTCCCTACTGAGGAAGATATTAAGGACGATGCCCCTGCTCCACAAGATCTCTCTGCCCCTAGTTTCCTATTAGGCATTGTTGAACTTGTAATTCTTATTATTAAACATGTAATGAATTTTATATTACTTTACGAACTTCTTACTATGAAATTGTTTGTTTTTAAATGGTTTTGTCTTTTGAATTTTATTTGGGTCATTGTAACAATGATTCTATTAGTTCATCCTACCGTAGGTAAGATCTTATTAACTTTCTTGAGAGAAAATCTAAGTGTTGCTGTACATACAGCCTTTGTTCGGCTTGTTGTAAAGAAAGCTTTTAATGATTCCTTTGATGGGAAATTCATCTAAGTGTTGCATTACATGTAATTACTGCAACCTTTGTTCGGCCTGTCGTAGAGCAAGGCTCCAATGGTTCATTTGATAGGAAATCTGTCTAAGTGTTGTAGCACATGCAACCTTAGTTTGACTTGTAATAGAGCAAGGCTTCAATGGTTCATTTGATAGAAAATTCGTCTAATTGTTGCAGCACATGCAACTTTAGTTCAACTTACTGTAGAATTCAATGGCCCATTTGATAGAAAATACGTCGAAGTGTAGTAGTACATGCAACCT